CCTACACCCAACTAACCTAACTAACTAGGCCTACACTACTGGATTCGAACCCGCGCTGGTGACCTGATGGGCTGGCCACTGTCCTGGACTTATACTACTATAGAAAATTGGGCCTGATAAATATGACATGGCCCTCATTTTGAAATTTGGCTGAAACACGGCCAAATTGTAATTCAACGTGCCCATATTGCTGTGCGAAAACAGTCTGACTACTCAAAATACACAATTTCTGAATTAAAAACGAGAAAGAGTTTTTTTTCGTTGCGCAATAGTCAAAAATGTTAGCGATGAATAGTCAAAATGTTAACAATGATCGCAAAAATCGGCTGTGGACGAATGGCAAGTACGAATTTGATTTGACGTAATCCGAATGATGTTTTGATTTTAAAGGATCCAGATTATTAGTCAAATGAAATTTGGCGTCATTGAAAATGAGCATTAAGTTTAAATTTGTGAACGAGGATGCACTCTCACACAATCACGAGAAATCCCGTCGACCGTGGAACGTGATTTCAGAATATAACTGTTGCGACCGTTTTCGTCAAAATCTGCCACATTGAAAATTGTCGTCTTATATTTCAGGCATTGGCTATTTGATAAAATCCAAGATTTGAGTGAAATTTTTAGTTCTAATTAAACCTCGCACCAAAATGTTAACAACAAAATACTCAAAATGTTCACAGTGAATACAAAAATGGGCTACGGACGAATCGCATGTACGAATTCGATTTGGCGTAATCCGAATGATGTTTTGATTTTTAAGGATCGAGATTATTGCAGTCGATTGAAATTTGGTGTCATTGAAAATGAGCAGTAAGTTTAAATTTGTGAACAAGGATGCACTCTCACACAATCACGAGAAATCCCGTCGACGGGAACGTGATTTCAGAATATAACTGTTGCAACCGTTTTCGTCAAAATCTGCCACATTGAAAATTGTCGTCTTATATTTCAGGCATTGGCTATTTGATAAAATCCAAGATTTGTGTGAAATTTTCAGTCCTAACTAAACCTCGCGCCAAAATGTTAACAACAAAATACTCAAAATGTTCACAGTGAATGCAAAAATGGGCTAAGAACGAATCGCATGTACGAATTTGATTTGACGTAATCCGAATGATGTTTTGATTTTTAAGGATCCAGATTATTACAGTCGAATGAAATTTGGCGTCATTGAAAATGAGCATTAAGTTTAAATTTGTGAACAAGGATGCACTCTCACACAATCACGAGAAATCCCGTCGACCGTGGAACGTGATTTCAGAATATAACTGTTGCGACCGTTTTCGTCAAAATCTGCCACATTGAAAATTGTCGTCTTATATTTCAGGCATTGGCTATTTGATAAAATCCAAGATTTGTGTGAAATTTTCAGTCCTAACTAAACCTCGCGCCAAAATGTTAACAATAAAATAATCAAAATGTTAACAGTGATTGCAAAAATCGGCTACGGACGAATCGCAAGTACGAATTCAATTTGACGTAATCCGAATGATGTTTAGATTTTTAGGGATCCAGATTATTGCAGTCGATTGAAATTTGGCGTCATTGAAAATGAGCAGTAAGTTGACATTTTGTGAACAAGGATGCACTCTCATACAATCACGAGAAATCCCGTCAATGGGAACGTGATTTTATAATATATTGAAGTTGCGAACGTTTTTGTTATAGTTTGCTACATTAAAAATTGTCGTCTTACGTTTCAGGCATTGGATATCTAATAAAATCCAAGGCTTGTGTGAAATTTTCAGTTAGTAACAAAACCTCGCGCCAACACGAAATCTCGGAAAGTAACGCGCTACGCGTAATTTCAAATTGAGGGGCATGCGCATGCGTGCCATTAAATATAGGCCCGAAATTGCTTACGCCGGCTAAATAATATTTTTTGATATGTAGCCGAGCATTTTGTCGGCCATGAACTTGAGGATTTGTAATTAAGGGTGCAATCCGTGAACGGGACTGCCTAATCGTATTTCTGTGAAATTTGGATGGAATTTGGCCTTAAATTCCTGTAGTGTGCAATGTAGCGTACGTATAGGCATCATTTTACAACATTGCAATGGCCTCAAGGACCGCTTTTATAGGGGTTATCTTCGCATGGATTTTCCCCAAAGGTCATAGGTACCCCCCATAAACAAACAGAAAATAAAGAACATTGCATGTCTTCATGCAGCAGTAAATTAGTTGCCATGAACCAATAATGAAATCCCCAGCCCCCCCCCCCGGTCAAAAATGGTGCTCCATTCTTTCGGCTATTTTCAGGGGGGGGGGGTCTTACTTGCAGAAAACGGGGACGGGGTGAAATAAAGGGAGTTGGGGGATTGAGTCCATAGTTGGGGAGGGGGTGGGTTTGAGTCCAAAGTTGGGTGTGGGGTTCCCATGGGCATCACCTGCCCCCCCCCCCCCCGCCCCCCGCCCTCCCCCACCCAACACTTTACGACGATTTCTCCTGCATTTTAATTGGAAAACTTAATTTAGGAATTATGGTATCCATTTCTATTATTTTGGCCAAATTTACATCTTAATTTACATGCAAGGGGGGGGGGTTGTCCCGCTACTGATCTTGTTTATTTTTTATAGGCTGCAGACTGGTTTTTCACTCTCAAAGAATCATTTTCCCAATCGCTCCGTATCGTAATCTAAAAGTGCCAAACATATTTATCAGCAGAATGTTAGGTCCCGTATTAAACGCTATTTACATATAATTTACATATCTACATAAATTACCCACGCGCAGTGACGTTTTATCAATTAAATTCAAATTTTAAAGCCAATTACCGCTAACCGAATTCATTTCAGTAATATTGGAAGTAAACTGGCACCGATAATTTATTCATATTTTTTTTTGTTTTTAATGATTTATTAATATACCTCCAGAAATTTAATCTAACGTTAGGCGGCCAGCTTTAAAGTGGAAAACTCTGAATTATTTTCAAAGAATCGCCATGATATTAAACAGTAGAGATGTAAGAGGCGCAATAGTCATTTTTAAAGTTGTTTGATATTTGAAAAAAGTGCAAAATGGGTGCAGGGGGTTGATGCTTCGCAGACGAAATGTAGCTGCTCTCTGACGATCTTACTCCAACCACACTCCAATCTGCGAAGCTATCAACATTTACATTACAATACTACGCTATTTACATATAATTTACATATCTACATAAATTACCTAATAATTAACCCTACACCCAACTAACCTAACTAACTAGGCCTACACTACTGGATTCGAACCCGCGCTGGTGACCTGATGGGCTGGCCACTGTCCTGGACTTATACTACTATAGAAAATTGGGCCTGATAAATATGACATGGCCCTCATTTTGAAATTTGGCTGAAACACGGCAAAAATTGTAATTCAACGTGCCCATATTGCTGTGCGAAAACAGTCTGACTACTCAAAATACACAATTTCTGAATTAAAAACGAGAAAGAGTTTTTTTCGTTGCGCAATAGTCAAAAATGTTAGCGATGAATAGTCAAAATGTTAACAATGATCGCAAAAATCGGCTACGGACGAGTCGGAAGTACGAATTTGATTTGACATAATCCGAATGATGTTTTGATTTTTAAGGATCCAGATTATAACAGTCGAATGAAATTTGGCGTCAATTAAAATGATCATTAAGTTTAAATTTGTGAACAAGGATGCACTCTCACACAATCACGAGAAATCCCGTCGACGGGAACGTGATTTCAGGATATAACTGTTGCGAACGTTTTCGTCAAATTTTGCCACATTGAAAATTGTCGTCTTACATTTCAGGAATTGGATATTTAATCAAATCCAAGACTTGTGCGAAATTTTCAGTCCTAACTAAGCCTCGCGCCAAAATGTTAACAATAAAATACTCAAAATATTAACAATGATCGCAAAATTCGGCTACGGACGAATCGGTAGTACGAATTCGATTTGACGTATCCGAATGATGTTTAGATTTTTAAGGATCCTGATTATTGCAGTCGAATGAAATTTGGTGTCAGTTAAAATGCGCACTAAGTTTAAATTGGTGAACAAGGATGTACTCTCGTACAATCGCAGGAAATCCCGTCCCGCTGGAAACGGGGTTTCAGAACATACATTTTATGAACGTTTAGCGTTTTGCCAAATAGAAAATTGTCGCTTGAATTTTAAGCATAGTATATTTGATAAAATTTTGGGATTAGTGCAAAATTTTTAGTCGAATTAAAATCTCGTGCCAGCCAACGCGAAATCTTGAAATGTACTGCGTAACGCTGGATTTGAGATTAAGACTCTTTACGAGTCAGCGTGAACTGATTTTAGCTTTATAGACTCATTACGAGTCATCGTGATTTCAAAGTTGCCATTTTTACGTCCTCAAAATCAAACAATAATAATTAAAATTTTGAAACACTATGGATGGACACCAAAGTGCCAAAATCATACACCTCGATGACAAGTTTAGATTGATTTATGCTCTTTTTAAAATTTTATTAATTAATTAAATAATAAATCAGCTCATTTATTTATCATTATATAAAAATAATATAAGGGGGGTAGGGCGGGGTTGGATTGGGAAGGTGTAGGACGGGGTTAGGTCAGGTGGGGTGTGCCACAGTTTGTTTCTGCTATCAATGGGGGCGTCGGGCAATAGAGGACAATAGGGTTCCTTCCCGAAGGGTCCTCAATTTGGATTCGTGTAAAAAAAAATATGGGAGGTCTTCCTAAAAAGTACAAACAAAAGAGGGACAAAGGGGCTCCCCGATTGCAGGCAAATACACACTTTAGAATCTCCTACAGTATTCTAAAAAGGAATTCGGTTTGACGTAATCCGAATGATGTTTTGATTTTTAAGGATCCAGATTATTATAGTCGAATGAAATTTGGCGTCAATTAAAATGAGCATTAAGTTTAATCGGATACAGAATTTACGCCCGCAAAAAAAATGTGTTTTTGTTCTGCCCTGTTAGTTTTGTCTACCATGTTGTTCTGGTGTAAATTGTTGTTTTGTTTTCGTCGTTGTTGTGAAAATTCTGTTCAGCTGAGAGGACTTACGGAGGCCGTGCCAGCACAAAGTGCCATCAACGATTTGAATCTCTTCATCAACAAGACATGGGAGGCTTACGACGCTCATGGGGCCTCTCAACCGGACTTCCAGGTACAATTAAAAATCATACGTTTTCGAGGATATCGTAAGGTCATGTCAAAAAAATCAACAAACGTCCACACCTTGTCATGATTTGATGAAATGCCGCCGAATGGTTTGGATTTTGTTACCGAACAGTGACGACACTGAACGTGCAAATCCAGTAATTAAGTCGCACAATCAAGGGACGGACGCACCGAGCGAGTCGAATAACGCCAGCAAAGAATCGAACATTGAATTATTGCATGGTTCGAACGACCGTATAGCCTGGTATTAAATACGACTCCGTAAAATCAATTGACGTTTGTTTCGAATAATTCGACACGTCGAATAGTTTGACGTCTGCTCTGCATCGTGTGACGTCTGTATCGCATCGTTTGATATAACGGCTAATGTATCATTTGAACATTGAGAGCCCAGAAATTGGCGCTCAATGTTTGGAAAATAATAAAGGACTTTTGGCACCACTCATATCATTTTGATGCACACAATGCCGTCATTTTCATCCGTCGACAGACTAGGTACAAGTCGCTGATATTGGTAAAACATGCTGTCAGTGTAGATTAGTCTTTCACTGGCGTTTCAGTTCCGCCACTTTCAAAACAAATTTGATAACGCACGTGGTGGTTTTTTTTTCGTCATTTATGCAGCAACAAGTTGACTATGCTACTGACATCATCACGGAGCTACAAAGCTTGGAAAATATGCAAAGCAACTTACTAGCTCTAATGGTAAGCTTAACATCACGTGCACAGATGTGGTTGGCAACATTATTATTGTGTCCTTATCAGAGTGTTTTATGAAACTTCTTGCGGCGATTTACAGATGAAAATTTAGAACAGCCTTGTAAAATTTGGCTGGGAAAATGTCTAATCGATGCTACATTGCAATGAATAGTGTTGGATCGCTTGTATCGAGTCGGGGAAGAAGAAAAAAGTAGTAACACTGGATTTTAATTTAACACTGAAGTTTAACAGTGTTTTCGAAAAACGTATGTCGAGTCGTTAAGTGATGAGGTAGTTTGCATCTTTGGCCCGTGACAAGTTATACTTTACGTTTTTATCAAGTTTAATCTTTGAATTCATGGTTTTTTTTAATTCTCCAGATTACATATGCAAACCAGGTCACGTTCTTTGAAGCGACCTTTTACGAAGTTAAGGTAAACAAGATACGGGGGATGCCACGAAAACGCTTAAAAATCACACTGTACACTAGTTTGTGTGAGCGTTGCTATTTCGTAGAGTGCGGCTATTTCAAACATGTCATTGTTTGTTGACCAAAACTCTGAATAACGGCAGATTCCGACCCAACACTTTTTCGCTATCGTAATGCAAAGTGGATTCTTCTTTTGTGTCTACAAGTTGAACCGCTGAAAATTATTGTTCCGAAAAAAATTACCAACAAAGAAGAACGAACACAAATCAAAGGCTGATTTGCACAACTCCGTAACCAACACCAACAAATAATGGTGTTGACCAAATCTTCAGGAATGAGATGTTTTGTCCTTTGTTATTAAATAAAGGCATTGGAAATTATGGATTAACCTTCTTATGTTTTAAATCTAGCCAATTTGTTACTGCCTTGTTACAGAATCTGACAATCGATGCTTTACCCAGTATCGCCAGCGACTCTCAAGATTTGCTGGATCTGTCTTTGGACGCTGGCGACATTGTCGAGACGGTAAGTACAAATCGACAATTTATTGCGCAATTTACCTAGAAAGCGATTTATAGAATATGTCATCCGCAATCAAAATGTCTTTCACGTTGCTTAGACCATCTCCAATTTCCTGTACTATCAGTTTATTTTTGTACTTTGGTGTATGGGCCTATTTCGTTGCAGTTCACTGCATTTATAGTGCTTCTAGTTTTCCCTACTTTTCACTATCCATGACTTTTCCGAAATTGCATGTTGACATTATTCTCAATTTAATCATGCAGCGACAATCATACTCTAAGAATTGGTTGCACTTAAGTAAAAAAAAAAAACTCATCAGATGTGTTCCTTTGTTTCTATCTAGTCACTGAATTCTACTATAGACGGACTTATCGCAAACGCAGAGGAGCTTGTTACAGGGCCAATTAATAAGGTACGACAATTTCATTTGGCACACCATAATCAGTCAATGTGCGATGTAGCCATACACAATTTGACAAAAGGGAAACGACAGTTTATTATAATGTTCCTCTTCTAGTCAACCAAGCAACATACGCCTTCCTTGATCTAATGTTTTCAATGTCGGTTCAATCAGATTGAGAACGAGGTTGGTCGCTGTGGAGTTGTTGCTGGCGCATACGAAGCCATCGTTGCTGAAGTCTGCGTGCATTTTCTGACAGGATTTGTAAGTACATGTACATGACCTTTACAAAAGACCATTATCATGTTGCCGCCATCTTGATTTTTTCCCATTCAAAGGAAAAATAGTCTGGTTCCTTTTTGCACAAAAACCCATTATCATTCAGTACAGTTATTGGATACGGGGAACGTGACTGAAATGGTGGCAGCATGATAAAGGGCTGGCCTAGGCCCTATTCCTGGACACTTTTGTGCCGGGTGCCCCTTCGGATAAATTGTTTTGTTGGTATAAACAGATAAGGTAAGCACTAAAAAAAAGTTGCAAATATTTCATTTTGGAATTGTGACTTGACAGGCCTCACGCAAACTGGAATTCCACGCACGTTATTTAGTAGAGTAGAAGTAATATAATTAACTAAAAAAATAATAAATGGATACTCACTAAAAACAATACTTGAAATGGGGAGCATGTTCCGCATCCTGACGCCACTTTATTTTCTCATACATTATCTCAATCAAGGTCAGTCATGGTGAGAAACATTTCCAATGTTGTTAGCAAATGCTTTGAAAATACATTCGACTCTCCATAGACTTTGTACACAACCAAAGAGGCGGCGTCTGGATACTACTTTCCCTTGAAAATAAGTATTATCTGGTGGCACGTAGCTTAATTTATACAGTGGTAAATAATTTCACTTACCTTGTAGTAGAATAATCGCCGCAAAATCTTCAATTCTTTCAGAACGCCCTCTGGCTATCCACCGGCATCATTTCCCTCTGCTGTCTCCCGATCATCGTTCTCACCGTGCGTCTGTCCAAGTATGTTCGACGAGCTAAGCCAACAGAGGGCAGCAGATACAGCGACATGCCGCCGACTGCAGACGCTTGAACTTTGGCGGGAAATTATTCTGGACTCGTTGGGACATTTTATTTTGTTTAAAAGGCATTCATGAATTTTTTTTTTTTAAATATAGGATCATCCAAACGTTTTTATGAAATAACTGCCACCATAATTATTTTGCCACAATTATGTTAAACTCTAAATTATTCAAACAACAAAGTACAGACAAAAGTGTTTTTTTTTTTAATTCTCTTAAATATTTCATTACTACAGAAGTCTAATTTGCAATCTTCCGATTGAAAATGTATTGATCAATTTAATGCTAAAATTTAAAGAAGTCTGAATGTTGGATTAACCAAAAATCATGCATATTTAAATTTAACTGAGAATTTAAGTCATTTATGGCAAAAAAGCAGCAGCAGCACAGCAAATTATGATCTGATCTTCCACAAAATACGCCTTATTTCATTCAATAAATCGAATTTGTCAACTCTCTTGGTTATTGAATATAAAACTTTGAACAGAACAGAACACTGTCAAATAGTAGTAGGCCTATGACAAAATATAGTGATTACTTTGAGCAGCAAAACCATTCAAAACGAAGAGTAAATAATGGACGGTATGGAAATTAGGAGGGGGACCACAACATTTCTTGCAACTTCTTATGCAATAAAATAACACATATTACTCGACATTCACATCAGTTTCCAAGAATTTATTTACAAGACAAAAATATTCACAAGATTTAGCATTGAGCCTAAAGACAGTTCCTTGTTGATACTTCATGTATATTATGTACACAAGATTCTATCTTTGTTAGTTTTACACGTGTACACAAAATGTACTTTTTGGGGCAGACAATGTGGTGTGTCATTTACTTCTGACGTGATTTATTGCTGAATCAATGGTTTGAAATTTTAAAAGAAATGATAATCAGCATAACCAGAATCTCACAAAGGTTAATTTGTCATTTTTAAGTAACGAATAATAATTGAAATATGCCAGATGGGACTTCATCATGATATGTCATCATTTCCATGGTAACCTTGATGATCAGTTTTAAAGTTTGCCATTGTCTGCCATCCCTATCTAGGCCTGAAAAGCAGACTTCTACAAATCTGCAGATTTGTTGGCCAGGTAAGACAGGTTTCAAAGTTGGCCACGTTGCTATCATCCCTAACCAGACCTGCAGTGCAGACTTCTACAGCTCTGCATCATCGTTGGCCAAGTAATTTTCATAATGGCCCAGTAATCTTCACAAATATTCCAACTTCAGCATGGTCTACCGTTTTTATTTCTTCAGGCCTGTTGAAGCTATGGTGCCATTGTATACCAGCATGCAGAAATACTTTGCAAGATTCAAATTTCAAGTTAGTTTCAAAGTTTTACCACAACCTGCTCTCCCATATCTTGGCCTAGGATGCAGACTTCTACCAATGTGCAGCATTGTTCCCACGTAATCTTTACAATTACAACTTTGCCACAGTGTAACTGTCCTATCCATTACAGTGAGTTGCTGCTTCTAGTCAGCGGCACCATTAACCACTTAAACTTGACAATGACAGGTCTCCAAGTTTGCCATGATCCGACATTCTTTAGCTGGGCCTGAGGTGTGGACTTCTACCAGTCTGCAGCGTTAGTGGCCAGGTAGTCCTTGCGGCCGATGGTGCTGGCCTGCTTCGTCTGCATGGCTTCCAGTTTGGGACACTCCGTGATGCGATGGCCCAACCCACCACAGAAGGAGCAACCACGCTCATCTGAAAAACCCAAAATGAAATCAAAATTAAATAAAATAGGACACACAAAGGTGAAACTGAACAATATTGAGGGCTGTTACAATTAGGACACATAATGTGTATTTTACTCGTTTGGTTGGTTGGTTTTGAGAAGGGCCGATTTATATTTCCCACAACAGTTTGTTAAACTCTTAGCGGAGGTTCAGCAGAAAATAGGGCTGATATTGTGACGACCTTGCAAGCTACGTCCTGCTTAATAAGCAGACTCTGAGAGGTAACTATTATTTCTTCTAAGTCCAGATATTATCGGCTATTAAATAATGATAATAATAACGTATTTATTTATATTGCGCAAATTCCACATGAATAATAATGGTCAAATGCGCATCACAAACTATACTCCAAGCATGCTCAGAGAGGGCCCATTAAGCAGCTGATCCAGAAACACTGGGGCAAGCCCCGGCTCTTTCACAACAAGTGTCCTGGGTGTTTGATGTACATTACACAATGCACAGGACCTACAGTTTTATGATAGGAGCCCAATCATGTCCCAGACAAGCCACCAACCAGGACAATACATGGAATGGTCTCCCATCCAACTACTGACCACAGTCAATGGGGCTTAAAGCTCTAGTCCATCATTTGCAGCCATCCGAAAAGTAACTGGCATAATTATTGTTGAAAAACAAACTTGGTTGAAAGATAGTAAGGGAACTAAACTCCCTGTGAAATTATTCTTTCTGGGAAGCTGTCATTTTGAAGTAATCAACGAAAGAAGGCATTTCCAACGGTGATTCTTAAGAAGCACCGTAGGAAAATTTAAATTAGTAGTTCGTTTTGTTATTCAGCGCAGCGCGCACAAGTATTGGAACGACGCACGCGCGCGCGCGGTTGTTGTAATTCGTCGGATCAGTGCGCGACGTCGCGTATAGCTGCAATTCAAAACAATTCAAAACATGATTCAGTAACTTTTGATTTGAAATTGAGATCTTAGAATGCTGTTTTTCTCGGAATGTACAGCTGAAGCTTAGCTGAAGCTTAGCTGAAACTTCATCAGGTTAGTTGCTCAGCATCCTTCATTAGATTTTGAACTCTTTTGTTGCTTCAAACGAACAAAATGCACAAATTACAAATGATGGACTGTAGCTTTAACTTGGTAGTTATACCACTAGCTCTTCCATTGAGCTAACGGTCTGGGACAGAGAACATTCAGCTGAGAACCACGTTCATCACAAATTGTGGCTGGTAAGTTGCTTGTCTGCTACCCAGCAAGACTTTCATGAACTCAGCGATGGTGCATGCTTAGCCCGACAATGAAATCAGTGCCTGCTATATCACAACTTTTTCAAAATGCTGCAGGTTCGGCAGCTCGTTCTTGATATGGAATCCATGCATGAACAGTATATGGTGCAATAGTCCGAGTATCATCCGTTGTTCAACAGAGCCTGCACGTTAGCTCCACACCCAACATCCGGTATATGTGTGTGGTGCAAATGTATGTGACCCCGTGTGCCAGCTGATCGGAGTCCACTTCAGAAATTGTGACGTCACTTCGTACAGAAATTACAACTAAGCTGTTGATTGGTCAATATGCTGCCATGTTTTTGTTAATACAACAGGTTACCGAAGACCCGATAGAAGGCGCCCACTCAATGGTCAGAATCTGGAGGTCAAGACGCAGTCTTGTTTGGCGTACTTAATTGCCGAATCTTCACAGATATCATAGGCCCTTGCTTTGCAAGTGGCTATTCAATAGACTAGCAAACACTATGCATAGGGCATAAAGTACATGCCACTAATTTTTGTGTAATTTTGCACAATGAAACGCATATGGTGGGAATATTCTCTTTGTCCAACTATTGAGGGAGTACTTGCGTTATGTAAGTATTAATGTCCAAAACAACCACCAACATGGAACATTTTGGTCATTGCTTCCATGGAAACGTGACTTTTGTACGGAAAGCAAGCAAAACGAAATGTATTGATTTTTAAAATCTGGAACAACTTGGATCACCCACCTCCCATATTCAGCACCTCCTCATTCCCTCCTATGGCTATCAGGACCGGCGGTACCCTCTGCTTGGCCTCAATCAGCAGGTGCTTCAGATCCAACAAAACAGACTCCTCTGCATTGGCAAACAAACCAAAATCACAAAAAGGGTTTCAGATGCAAATACTTTCTGCACAAGTTAGTCCCAATCATTCCTTGTTGTCTCTCACTATAAAAAAAAACTTGGTGTATGGAAAGAGGTGACTGTGTAACCTAAGGAGACAATGAATGTGTTGATCACCTCTTATATGGTGTACGAGGCTTCCTCACTTTGCTGGTATTGCAATCAACTCATGAACACTCCCACGCATTAACACATAAAAACTGTGGCAGCCTAATTTGTGTGAGTAACTCGTGACCACACAGCCCTTGTGCTTTATAGTACAGTGGCAGACGTTTTGTGACATACGCATACATTTTCCAGCCGTAAATATAAGTCTCCTTCTTGGACGTTGTGCCCAGCTTTTGTCAGATGATTTAATCAATACATGTGCGCATATTAATGTACGACACCAATACACACGTTGTTTCAGGCACATCCGCAGCATACAATGCACTGGTTTAACGTGTGTGACAGGATTCATGACTAGCACCCAAACAGCTCGATTTTTGAGAGTCAAAATATTGATCCCCCCCCCCCCCCCAAATTCGTTCTCGCAAGAGTAACAGAAAACGGCCAATTTTTAAAAGATGGTTGTGGGGACGTTAATATTCTACTTTTAAATGTTCTTTCCAACTAATATCGTTTCGTTTAAAACGCGTTTTGTAGCCCAATTGGGTGCTTTCAAGGACAGAGTGTCCCTTTAACTCTTGTTCAGAAGAGTCTCATTATCTTTTGGCAATGATTTTGACGGCACTTACCGCATGACTTATTGATGAATGTTGTGGCTATTCCTGTCCTCCCACATCTGCCCGTCCTACCTATCCTATGGACTGGGGAAAAAGACAGAATATAAAATCCACTATAAGTCATTAAAACATTTTGGGCTGATGGAAAAAAACAATTGTATAGCTGTACTTTCTCAAAGCAGTTGAGGGCACTTGACCCTTGTGGGGAACCTGTACCATGTGGAAACACCAATCCAAAATTGAAAAAAACTTGTCCCAAATGAGAACACTTGTCCCAAGTGAGAACACTTGTCCCAAGTGAGAAAACGTGTCCCAAATAAGAACACATGTCCCAAATGAGAAAATGTGTCCCAAATGAGAACACTTGTCCCAAATGAAAAAAAACGTGTCCCAAATGAGAATAATTGTCCCAAATGAGAAAACGTGTCCCAAATGAGAACACTTGTCCCAAGTGACAACACTTTTGACCTTATGCCATTTTGTATACGCAGCAATGACTGCATTTTTATAGCCGTGGTTGGGAACTAACTTTTGCCAACAAATATTGAAGAAGAGAATTTTATTGAGGTTTTGGAAGGGTTTGTAAGCTGTCTGTTAACTTTTTTTTCGCAGTTGATGAGATTAAATGCCTGTTGTTTTTGTTTGCTTGTTTATTTATTTCTGCCCGTACTGTGCCAACCAATGGTTGATGTAGCAAAAGAACGATCTGTACTTCAAAGTACAGTGCAGCTGGGGCATATTTACCATAGTTTTCTATGTCTTCAGGCATGTCATAGTTGATAACATGCTGGATATCCGGGAAGTCGAGTCCCTTGGAGGCTACATCAGTGGCCACTAAGACATCTTTCTCCTTCTGCCGAAACTGCTCCACGGAGCGAGTTCTTTCCTCCTGGTCTGAATTGGAGTGTAAAAAAATACAAAAATTTGAATGATTGCATTTCTTTCACAGAGTGGCATTCAGAAAAGGATCAGACATTTAACTGGGAAGTTACCCAAAAATGAGCAAATCCAAGCTCTACAAGAATTCTACAGTGTTTTTCTATTTTAAACAATTTCAAATGAAAATACAACTGATCTGATAAAAAAAAATGCATTTAATGTTTTAAAATGTTGATATAAGGTACAACTAGGTTTTTGTCTGGATCCTTTAATGAAGGATTTGATTTAAGATGCTGGCAATATTTGAAATACTTAACATGATGATAATATTATGTTCAAAATTTAAAAGGAATATTGAAGTGAATGCTTTTAATTACGACATATGAGAAAACCAATATGAAGCGATGCAGATCATGTGTACCTTTCCCTCCGTGGATAGCCACGGCTTCAACACCTTTCAATAAAAGATACTCGTGAATATCGTCCACATCCGCTTTCTTCTCAGCGAAGATCAACACCTGGGATGACAGATAACAAGATAATGAGCAATTTGAAACGTTATGTATAAAAACATATTAAAGATAAATTTTAGTCACGGATTTTGACAACAATTGGATGTACTTGTCAGCAAAGGCTTTATGCGTGAAATTTGGTGCACTACAGTGCAATGTGCTTAAGATCGGTTACATGAAACTTACATTAGCTGTGCAACATTTAAATACTGTTAATAGTTTTGGCAAGGACAGTTTTTATGACAGTTATTTTGCACAGTCATCGACTTCAAACTCCTCTAGCCATTAAATTTCATGGGAATTGGGCAGCAACTTTCAAAATGCACTCTCACAGGTAAAACAGCATTTCATCACCTTTAAACAAAAAAAAGAAGCTTGTGTGTTCCTAGCATAAACCTTTAACATTTTGGGCAACGACAAGCAATCACAATTACTCAGTAAAATCGTACACTTCTCAAATTGAGTGCATAAGTTTTATCATTAGCTTTTGTGCAAGTCACAGACTTGCAAACGGCATTAATTTTTGTAAAATGCGTCAAATTTATTGCGCTACTTATTTGGTGTAAGTGGAGTCACACCATTGCGTAGACGGTTGTTAAACTCAGCAGAAATACAGACAATGGAGAAAATCTCCAGTCATAATGAGCCTCACCGGAGGAGGAGTCTTCTGTAGGCACTCCAGCAGGTAGACCATCTTGGCCTCTTGCTTGACGTACTCCACCTCCTGGATGACGTCCAGCGACGCTGCCCCGGCCCGGCCCACGTTGACCGTGATGGGCATGACCAGAGCGCTCTTGGCAAAGTTCTGGATCTTCTTGGGCATGGTGGCGCTGAAGAGGAGCGTCTGTCTCTGGCCCTGCAGGGGAAAAGAGGGTGTAAGTTAACCTAAAAAACCTGCCATATTTTATGAAGATACAGCACATCCGGGCAGCATGTATAGGATCCACAACGTGCGCAACGTCCTATTTTCTGCATCGATTTTGTGCCCTGACTGGGCCCATCCAATAAATGGCTATTTTGAAAATATTTTGAATTGATGACTACTTATAAAATTAAAATTGTTCACCTCAACTTGTGGTCAAACCAATCACGCCGATAACAATTGGGTAAATTCAATTCGATGAATCAACTTCTTACAACTTATGTTATTAGGATTTTTGTATACATGTAACTGATAAGTTAAAGATTTCAAACCAACCTTGAAGTAAGTGAGAATGGTTCTGATGTCCTCCTCAAACCCAAGGTCAATCATTCGGTCAGCCTCGTCCAAGCAGAGGTAGCGACAGACAGACAGATTGAAGCTCTTTCTGTTCAGCATGTGGATCAGCCGTCCCGGCGTGGCCACCATGATGTGCACGCCCCTGCAATCCAAAAGTTGGTTCAAAATTTGTAGAAATTAGAGTTGGGGAGGTCGGAGCTTGGCGGAAAGGTATATTATTCCTCACCCCTTAAGAAAAATCTAGTACAGTGGAACGCCGCTATGATGAACATCGCGGGATCCACAGAAATTTTTCATAATAGCGGTCCTTCAGTATAGCGATTTTAAGCTGCTGGTGCTCCGGTACTCAATTTTCAATAAATAGCGCCCTTAAGAAATTCACCCCGCACGCCCTGGTAGTTATCTTAAGATGACTTTGAACATGTGCCGACTATTGAATTATGTAATTACACAGTTTTTGAGCTTACTGCCTACAGCAATGGGTGGCTTTCCCCTTCCATTTCTTGCGGACATGCTAGCCAATTGTCCCTTTTCTGTTGACATTTTTCAACAAAAATGTTTGGCATTTTGTACACAAAAATCTGGAGCCAAGGACGATGTGCAGTATAGCTAACATTCGGTATAGCGGTATTCGGTATAGCGCATTCCTCTGTACATGTATATGAAACAGACTCTCTCCCAGCAAGTGTCTATAATGGTCCAGTTCCTAGTGAAAGACGCTAGGGAGTTAGGGTTAAGCTAAGATGAGGCAAGCATAGTAAATCTTGTCCCAGGGCAAAATTTAACCCATCATTTGCATTACTCGGTACTCCCTTACGATAGCAGTACCCGGTTCACAAGCACAAAGTGACAGTCAATCAGTCACTCAGCCAGTCAGTGAGACACCGAGTACTATGACAATTGGCTGGCACTCTGGTACCAGCAAAACAGGGTACCTGCCAAATATCATATATCATCAGAGAGTTGGTGCCCAACAGATTTCTGCTTAGCATATAAATTTGAATGGTTATGGTTATAGTTCCTGATTAGAAGGTCTACAACACCGGTTTCCCAGTACTCACTGCTGTAGCAGTTTCATCTGGTCTTTGGACGGTATCCCGCCGATGCACAGCATGCTCCGTAGTGACGGCAGTCCCTCGGTTTCTATGCACTTGGCGAAATACTGGAAACCATCGTGGGTCTGTTTGGCCAACTCACGCTGTCAAAGAAGGAACAAAGAAATACTTAAATTTGGTTCCCGTCTGCGGAAGAATTCTCGGAGCTACAACACTGGAACTGTGCAAAGCACCTAGAATGGTGGCTCAACAAAAGCAGCTTACTAACCAAAATGTCATACATGGACTACATTTTTGTAACTGCTTCACAGCTGATTTTTGACCAGCACAACAAATCTGCCGAAAAATACTTCCTGCTGCAAAAAGTTTGGTCTTGACCGGTTTGTGTCGGAGGCTGTGTTAACACACACTGGCTGTTTTGATACACAGGCTGACGGGTTAAACTGTCAAGCGTGTCTCGACTCGCCTCCGGGTGACGTCTAAACACGCTAATCCCTCGTGTCTTTTGTACACACTATATCAATAAATCAACTCAACCATACTCTTCCCTTTATAATACACAAAAGTCTTATGTTTCCCTTACCGATGGGCACACTATGAGTCCGTACGGCCCCTCGTTCCTGATAAAAGGCATCTTCTTCTCCTGCTCCAAGCAGAACATGATGAGCGGCAGTGTGAAGACTAACGTCTTGCCAGATCCGGTGAAGGCAATGCCGATCATGTCCCGGCCGGACAGGCTGCAAAAAGGCAAAAAATGAACAAGATTACAAGAGGATGCACAGTGCAGTTTTGAAGAAGGAAAAAAGCATTAACCTCATCATTTCAGAATCTGTACTTATCTAACGCTATCTTGGTTCTACATTTTTTCAGTGCTTTTGAACTGATCTCAATGAAAGAATACCAGAACTGCTGAATCTAATTGTGACAAAGTTTATGCAAAAAAGGGTTGTACTCGACAATATAGTAAGTTTGTTTTTGGTCTTTATCTAAAAAAAACTTTTTTTACACTTACACAACAGGAATGCCCTGTATTTGAATTGGAGTGGGATGCATAATCCCTTTCTTCTTCAGGCCGTAGATGATGGACTTGGGAAATTTCATCTCCTACAACAAATAAAAAAACAAAATAACCAAAAATGCAATTATATTCACTTTTTCTTACATTTAAAAAAATTCTGTTTCCACTTTAATTTTCAACTCTATATTATATTCTGTCAGTATCTAAAAGAGATTTTCACAGGAAAGAGTTTAAAATTGATCAGACAACAGATGCGGGACCGTTTTTAAAAACAATATCAAGTTTTTTCCTCAGGTTTAAACACAGTTTTTTGAAATGGACTTGATTTGAGTTTGACAGGTAGTCCGAGTCAACAGGTAGTCCGAGTCGGCCACTAGCCGAGTCCGAGCCAAGCTGAGTCCAAAATGCCATGAGTCTGAGCTGAGTCACGAGTCCACAAAAATGGATTCCGAGTCCGGACTTGAATCGGAATCCAGTTTGAGTCCTCCATCGCTGTTAACAAGTCACATTATGTTAAAAGCCACTAAATCCTTACAAACTGCTTTCTAAAAACACTTGCTTTCATTTTCAGCAAACAGAAAACTGGTGTTGGACGGCTGATAAAAATTCACCTTGAAGTGTTTTACTGGAGGTGTTGCATTGTCGCCTTCAACGATGATGTGAAGTTTCTTGCGGACTCGCTCGTGGCGGCCCTCGCCCATGCTCAAGATGCACCTTGGAACAGTCCATCTGGGAACAAAAGGTTCACTCACAAAGTCAGGTGAAGGGCTTTCACCAGAACGAAGTTAAATTTATTTGTGAGCAAACAGAACTCTTCTATTGCTCAACATGCCAGCGTTTCAGCAAGTGAACAACTGCATACATGTAAAACGTGTATCCTGAGGCAATCTTGTCAGTGTTTTTAATAAAAAATCTAATAATTTAACCCTAAACAGTTAGTAAAATTAAACAAAAATTGATAGAGTGTTGCTTTCTGAATTTAATGAATTATTTCTTCCTGTCCTTTCATCTTTGCCGTAGCCCAATAATCTGTGACTCCCCAGCCAGGCTACTTAAGGAATAGTTTGACTAGCCCGCCGCTGGTTTGACTAGCATTTGGCTAGCGGGCTTCCGCTAAAGTCAAACCCCGCTTTCCATTGACAAGTTATGGCTGTTTATATTTCGCATTTATCCACACGCCAAAAAAGTAAAATACTGAGAAAAAGTCCTTTAAAGTTTCGAGTTTTGAATTCGTGAAAATGAAAGACCCCAATTGGTTTTTCCTTAAAAACATTTTATTCAACGATTTTTATAGTATTTCTTCAAAATATGTGTAGTAGACATGTCAAAGATTACAAATATCAATAAATCTGAAAAGAGAAAAAAATCACCCCCATTTTTTTTGGCATTTTTTTGCCAGAACGCTTCATAATTGGCCTCCCCCAACTCTCAAGGAGGTACTAGAGCACGGAGTCCAATGACTACATACCCAGTCCTGAGTGCCTCTGTGTACGTGATGCCTTTAGCCAACTCCTTGACTGTCATCAGGGCTCTCTGCTCCTGGATGCTCTGTAAGATCTTCTGTTCCTCCTCCATTTGCTTGTCCAGCTGGTTCACTTTGCTGCCTGCGCACAGACCATACCGGAAAGATTGGCAGTTAGGTCGGTGATCTGAACATCAGATCTGAACTTCATTTTTAACTATGGGCTCTGTGCGCCAACGAAAGAGGGCGCCCTTTTACCTAGCAACGATGTCCCATGGGTGGGACATTTAGCTGGTTGACACGCACCGTTCCTTGTGTGTGACGCATGACACCAGGGGATTTATACTATGTACACGCAGTGGTAAGGCCGCGCGTCGCGGCAAAATTGCAGTCAGGCAAGATGGCGTTGGTCGGTCACCCCCAAATGTACTCTCTTTGCCGGTGAGGGGGTACTTGTGAACGGAGCGGATAACCCTCCCAGATCATTCAAAATCGACTGGATGTTTTGAAGGATTTTGGAGGACTGACGAAGAACTCAATGCCCTCAAAAGTTTAAAGATAATATAACATTTCAAACATCAACCAACAAAACTAGCAAATTATTTTGATATACCTTACTTGAAACTTCACTCTACTTGAATAATAGTCTCACGCATCCTGTGAAATCATTGCACCCGGTGCGCTCTCGTTTTCAAGAAAAGTGGAATTTTTGTATCAATTTCCAATGACTAACTATTTTTTTCGAATACTGCCCGCAATTTACCAAGCTTAGTTAGTCCACATTTAGTTTGCAGTCAGTTACACATCTGTGAGCGCCAGTGCAAACTACATGCAGCTTGTCTGGTTCCCTGACCTGACAATTCCTGAAGTTTATAAACTGCTCTGTTTTGTCTGAAGCAGGGTCAGGGAACCAGACTACAAGAAAATAATTTTGGGTTTTTTTCCAGCATCTGTGAACAGGTTAGTGTAACAAAATTTATTGTTGAATTTGACTATCACAGAGCCTACAAGAAATATGATCTGACTGTGGGTGACTAGCCTGTGTAAAAGGCATGGCAGAGGAACAGAATTGATTTTTTTTACTGTCTGTGACTGATCAAACAAAAGGAGGGTTTGTCCCCTAGTGTACATTCAACTGAAGTTAGTGAAACAATGGTTAACCATAGTTTGTGGTCCTATTTCCTCTGACTTGATCATCACTGCCGGATGAAAACACTTACTCTCAGCCTTCTTCTTGAGTTCAGCATGTTGGTCCAGCAAGCTGACGTTAGCCCTAGGAATGGGGTCATCTGTCATCCCTCCATCTTCCCTGCCACTGTCTCGCTGCTCCTGCTCTCCCTCGGTGACTCCCTTGGCGATCCGCCGGTTCAAGAGTTTGTGGGCTTTGTCCAGCTGTACAAAAAAAGCAGAGTTATAACCGAGTCATTCACAAGCCAGCTAACACAGCCGTACATTACCGTTATGTTCGAGGACAAGACACTTTGTTCCCATGTTTATTGAAAACTCTCCCAATACACAATCGTACATACGAGGACTGTTCATAACGAAAGATCTCTGTTCAAGAAAAAACAATGGATTAGTTGGTCTCTCTTTGTCTTGCTGTCCTAGGACTGTAATGAAAAGTATACAGTAACAGGGAAATGGACCCAAAAAATGCACATTTAGCAAAGATTTTGAACAGATTGACAAATAACTTCAGAGTGAATGACTTGAGATTGACTTGTGATAACTTGTGTCAAGTTGATTTATGCAAACTCTGATAACCCCCCCCCCCCCCCCAATTAATTAACACAAAGGTTTACAGTCTTGCTACTCTTAGGAAATCGGCCCAACACCCACATAAATTGTAATTCAACAAAAACTCCTATTCGTCATTATCACATTAAGTCTTCTCTGTCCGAAACTTCTCATAAAATCCAGATACAATGTCGGTCATTTTCTTTTGTATTTTGTTTACATGTAGTTTGAACAAATCCTGAACTTGAATTGGCTAAAACACAAAGATCTGTCTTTGTCAACGACAAATATGAATACATGTATAATAATTATGAAAAATCACATTAACAACGATTTTGATATGAAGATTAAGACAGCCCATGGGCTTTATGTCAAAGATTTAACAACAAAGATCTTTTATCTTTATATACTTGTACAATGTACACACATATAGTGCACAAAAGTGACAAAACATCATACAAGTACAATGTAATAATGATTTTCAGATCACAATGATCACAACTGATTTTTAACAAATTTCTTCTTTCACACACCTGTTGTTTCCGTCTCTCCTTCAATGGTACATACGGCACATAATCATCCTCGGAATCACTGTCACTATGTCTATGACGCTGAAAACAGACAAAGATAATCCATTAAAGTGAAATTCTCGTGAGTACAATTATGAATGAAGTGACGACGACACTGTTGGAACCAGACTTTTTTGTCACAATAAACATTTTAAGTAACAGTCATAACATTAACAGTCTATGCGCATGTTCAGTGCCTATCTGGCAAAGCGGGTGTGCAAAATTATGATTAAATTGGAAATGTTTCTCAGCCCCAGATTTATGCCTTATCATTTGTTTGCAATGAATGACCTTCATTGAGATGATATATGAAGAAAAAAGTGGCGTCAGGTTGCAATATTATTTCCCCTTGGGATGACCTCCGTATTATTTCCATGTCCAAAAAAGAGACCTTGGTCGGCCGTCGGTACAGTGGCAGTTGGCAGTGGAACGTGTTAAGCCTGTTCAGTGTTAATGTTATGAATGCGTTGTCACTAGTCCGGAATCTGGGCATGCATACTAAGCGCAACCATGGTTATTAGATCGTCACATATCTTACCTTTGACGATTTCGAATGGCTAGAAGAATGTTCACGTTTCTTAGAAGTGGAGCTCATCTTTCCTAGAATTGTATCGTGATCTTTAATTCATTAAAAGCGACCAACAAATGTAACGTAACGTTTAGGAACTACGTTTTACTAAGTAAGTTTTACGATTAAACACCACTGTAGTCTGGTACCCGGTGATGTATATCCTTATTTCAGTTTTCAACACGCCTGGGAACCTTCACATTTCACTTTGTCTGTTTTCCGCCCCGCAAAGTTTCATGCAGATTTCCCCGCAAAGGATGCGGCACCAGCCTATAGACTAGTTTCATGCACTTATTAGACACACAAAGGCATACCAAATTGATCGCTGTATAAAATACATAGTACATTCGCCCAGTAAAATTTACGAAAGTAAATCGGCTGATTTAAGTTTAGGAAAACTAAACTCGCACTAGTGTACAGCAGTTGTTCAACGCGAAATGACAGACCACACATCCGGAAAGTAAATTTTTATACGAACAAGGAAGTTGAATAAAGTTGAGTTTGGGGTGGTGAGATTTTCTCATTTCCCCATTTCATTCTCATGACGCGAGCCGGTGCATTTGAAAAGTAGTTCCCCGCTATTTGATCACCAAATCGTGGATCTGAAACACACTAAAATATGGAGCAACCGCCGATCAAAAAGGGGTATCTGTACCGGCCGCAGAAAACCGGACTGAAGGTGAGTGATTGTACTTTGTAGACATGCGATTTCTTTTTAAATGGGAAATTTGTTAAAAACATAGAAATTGGAGGTGTCCTAAACTACACGATTACTGGAAATGGAGCTAAGCTGCATGCACAGCATATTCATTTTGCTACAAACAGTTCCTGAATCATGTAAGTAAATATGGCCTATTTAAAAATAAAACCATTGGGATTGAACAAAATATTTGTCATCTGTCGTGTCTGTTGTTTAAGCATTCCTTGCTCTATGGTTTAAGTAGGCTAGGCCTAGTTGAAATATTGCCCAATCATATGCCATCTAGTTTGGAGGATTCCTAGGCCCCTACTATTTATACATGTACTTAGGGCCTACTTGGTCCTCATGAACGAACTACAATGTAGGCCTAGTAGGCTTACTTTTAGTAGGAAAAAAAGGTTGTCTTCATTTTTTTCCTGTACTTTTGTTAGTTGCTCACATTGGCGTTTACAATGTCATGAATGTGTGAACTTTATTTTACTAAAAATACCCTTTGAGTAGAATTTTTACAACTTTGTAAAGTCCTGTGTGATAATTTAATACGTGTAGGCTGACAGCAGATACAGCTCACTCACCCTCTTTATTAGCAGCCAAAATAAATAAATAAACAAACAAAAATGATTGACCAACCCAAATATTGGTGATTGTGTAGTTATGAGCCCCTCTTTAAATTTTTGCTGCAGTCAGCAACCTAAAGAAGACTTCTCTTATTTTTCTAATGTCACTATTTTTTTTGTACTTTTTCAAACCCTGGAATTTATATGCAGATCTGAAAAAAAAAAGAATTATACATATGTACATTGCCAAAATGTCAAAAGTTAGGTTTATTTTGTTTTGTAAAAATAAAATATGCATACTTGAAGTTGTATATTAAAGGGAAAATACAACATTTGCAAACATCAAAAAATAAAACTACCATATCATTTTGAAATACCTTGCTGGACTGTTAGTGAATGACAGTGTAAAGCATCCTGTAAAGTCATGGCACCTGGTATACTGTCATTTTCAAGAAAAGTGGTATTTTTGTATCAATTTCCAACGCTGGTCGGCCGACCAGCGTTGGAAAACACTGGCTTTTTTTCAAATACTGGCCCCAATTGACCATCGCACTTGTTTGCAATCGATTACACACCTATGAACGGGTACAAGCCAGCTAGACTGGTTCCCTGACCTTACAATTCCCCAATGTATGTAAACTGCTCTGTTTCTTCTTATATGGAGTCAGGGAACCAGACTACAGGAAAATGATTGTTTTTCTTGGTTTTTATAGCATTTTCGAACCCAAAACCTCAAAAAAGTCAGTGTAACTATATTTGCTATATATTTCCAACCCCCCAATTCCATCCATTTCTGAAAATTACAGCAAAAGCAAATGATGTATATTCCCTTTAAATAAAAAAAAGTTTTGGAGAAGAAAAAAATTAAATTGGTTGCAGAGCACATGGCCATGGAGAGCAACATTAAGTAAACCACCACCTACTGTACAACAACATCATGAATGAGAAATAAACTCAGGACAGCTGGATGGCTTCAAGAATAATGTTTTATTTTGTCTGGGGTGGGGGTAATTTGTGAGGAAATGAGTCATTACAAACTTTTGGAATTTGAAAGGGAAAAAGGGCTGTTGGGAGAGGGCCATGATGCCCTTTAACAAATATTTACTTTAGATCAGGAATTATATCGCTCTTGAACATGTTGAAATAGTGATTTTATGACATGTTCAATGCATTTAACTGCAGGTACTGATCTGTTGTATTACATGTAGTAATTTCCCCCCCCCCAAAAAAAAGAGGGAAAAAAAATCCTTTAGGATCCATTAATCTGCCTTCCCCAACATGGTAGCCTTTTTCATCGTAAACTGCATTTCTCTCTAAATTTCCCTCTAATTCTGTTGTTTTTCTGGTATTTGTTGAACCTTTCTTAGTCTTGGGGCAAGACGCTAAGTATGTTGTACGATCCATCGCCGAAAGATGAGCAATCACACTTGAACTGCTATTACCAAGAAACGCTATCACAGTAGCTACTGTGATAGCGGTTCGCGTGTGGTAGTGGTTCGTGTGTGATAGCGCCCTCTTTTGGCGATGGGTCTTACAATGTTGCACCAAGGCTAACCTTTCAGAAATTACAAAAACAAACATGCCAATTCGCTCTATTCACACTCCGCCATTGAGCATGCAGACCCTCGATCTGGCAACTTTACACAATAAAAATAGCCGGTTCAGTGATCTGAACCCCGACGCGGGAATCACTGAACCGGCTATATTTATTGTGTAAAGTTGCCAGATCGAGGCTCTGCATGCCCAAGTGTGAAAAGAGCGAATTATAAAAAGATCGGTCATAAAGTGAAATTGGTTACACTTCACAACTTCGTAAGCTTCCCCCTCCCCCCTCCCCCCTCCCCCCTCCTCCCCCCCCCCCTCCCCAATATAAATAGGGCCTAGTAAAGCTGATCACGTACACATACATTCACTGCCAGGCACAAGCAATTAATTACCGCACTTCCTTCTCACTAATTTCACAGAAATCCTGGGTGAAGCGATGGGCACTGCTCTACCCAGCGTCGGAGACCCAACCCCCTCGTCTGGAGACCTACGACAGCAAGGAAGCGGCAGCCAAGGAGGGGACCAAGCCCTCTGTATGTCTGTCTTTGTCAAGCTCCTCTCAGGCTACTCCCACCACCCAGCATCGGTCCAGAGACTTTGTCCTGGATATCAGTATCGAGGACAAGGTTTACACCTATGCTGTTGACTCTAAGTAAGTCAAGACAGTGTATAAGCAGTGTACAAAGGTACACGTACATATGTGTGAATCATCAAGTGAATTAGACAAAAGACTGTGTTCTGGTTTATACTGAGTTTTAAATAGCAACTCCAAAGATGAATGGAATTTGTTAATATTGTATTCATAACTACCCGAGACAGTTTACCCATTCCTATTGGTCAAGAGTCTGTAGCATGGGTGGTTTTAACACAGCAGCATTCTGCGCCACATCGAGTAGTATGCGCCATGTGCGCACCAATTTCCATAACATGAGATATTTAGCACTAAGCGCACGAGGCACATACCACAAAACATGAAGTAAATTTGTTGAACAAAATTAGTGAATTTTTGACTTGTTCTGACTTTTGTACCGAAAGGTATTTATGAATGGAAATTAATATGTGCTTGGCTGGTTTTCAACAAGGGTGTTTAAAACCAGGTAGGGGCCTGGTCTCGCCTTCAACTTAAGTTGGGACCATTCTCTAGTTGGGACGTAGCAGATACAGCATTTTCAAACACAAACCTAGTATTAGACATAAATATGTGATGTTTTGATCTGATGTTCTGAAAGCTTTCTGCACTTTGGCCATTGGAGGTGGTGTTGGAAGTTTTTATTGGGATGACATGTATTGACAAGAGAAACAATACATCACTGTACTCTTCCCATAAATTGTCTCAATTATTTTGAACCCAATTTTCGTTCACAATGTGTAAATAAACACATAAAATGACCACACGACTGTTTACAGATGTACACATGAAGATGAGTGCCTTGCCGCCAAATAATAATAATAATAATATAATAATAACATTTATATAGCGCCATATATCCGAATCAATTTTGCTCATTGGGGCAGTACAATCAAACATTGGGATCAAAAGTCTGACATTTTTTTACTTTATTATATCAGCATCACTGCAACTTATATGACTTTAAAATACAATTCATAACAGTTTACCCATTCCAATTGGTCGAGAACCTGTCATGTGGGTGGTTTTAAACGGTTGATAAAACTCCAACACTTTTTCCACCACATCGCGCAGTACATGTACCTGCCTCTCACAAGCCAATCTCCATATAAGGAGATTTTTACCACATACGCATGTGAGGCACATGCCATAAACATAGCTAGAGGGGTGTTTCACAAAACATGGAACAAAATAATTTAATAAAATTGTTGGAAATTTATACATTTTCACTTGTTTTGACTTTTTGACCAAAAGGTATCTATGAATGGGAATGAATATGTGCTGTACTGGTATTATACTGATATATTTTAAACCGGTTATGGGCCTGTTCGGCGATAATGGCCCTTGCCTTCGGGCCGTTATCAGCGTCAAAGCCCCTTACCATTTTGTTTAAATTGAAGCCATCCTTATATTATTTGTTGTCAAACCTTACTTTCTCTTCTTCTAAGAGCTGCTTTCTAGAAAAGAAACTGTAGGCCTATGATATCTAAAAACAGAAAAAAAATGTTAATAAATTTAGCTGTCGTCAGTTTTCAAGCATGAATACCATTCGTCCATCTTCCCATTTGTCTCGCAGGGAGGAGTTGGACACTTGGCTTCAAGTCTTTGAAGAGGTCGCCAGAGGTCGTTCCGGACATAAAGAAACATCAGGACACAGGTCATCCATTGTTCCCGACCTGCCCTCCTTCAGCGGTGACGCCGGGGAAGGCTTACAGGAAAACACCTTGTATGATTCATATGAGAGTAAGTAGTGAGTACAAGCATTACATTCACTGTGTGGACTTCCGAACAAAACAGGTCCACATAAACCAGGTAGCAGCGACGTTGTGTGGACTTGCCCACGTCCACACAGTGTTTCCCCCTCTCTGGAAAACCGGTACCGGTACAGGGGCGTAAATCCCGGGGCAGATGGGGGGTACATATGCCCCCCACTTTTTGACCGGGGGATGGGCTATTGAATCATCCCCCCCCCCCACTTTTTCGTGATGAGTAAAAAAAATGCGGATTTCGAGGTATTTTTGGAACATCTTAACAATTATATGTATTCAATAGCACTGAAAAGTGGAGAAACAAGTACGAAAGGTTTAAAATTGTGCCAGTTTGATGTAAGCGCGAGTGTACATATTGATAAACATCTATATCATGAAGAGCGCCCCTATAGTGTAATGTGGTGTCCAGCCCCCCCCCCCCCCACCCCCGCTTGTAGAATTTCCACAGCTGGGCAATTTGTGGATTTTGGTCATCCCCATCCCCCTCCCCTCCCCCCCCCCCCCCCCCCCCCCCACTCGCCAGCACAGATTTACGCCACTGCTTTCATGTCCTAGATTTTAAAAGTGCTACATGCAGAACTTCACTGAAACAACAGTCCGGACATTTAGGTTTCATTTTTTTTTACTCACCCTGTATACATGTATCTGACTTGTGACTGACTTGATTATAACTCTGAAAAATAGGAATATTCCAACTGTTCCAATTTTTAAATTTGATTACAAATTGTGAAATGTTTCTGTTTAATTGTGTCGTTTTTTTCCCGTGTACAGCAATGTCATTCAATGTTGATATCAAGTCCACTGCCTTCAGTGACTCCCTGAACCTCTACGGCAATTTCACCCTGCAAATTGACTCCGTCAAACTGTCCCTCTTGGACGAGCACACCAACAACATGCTGTACGCCTGGCCGTACAGGTACCTGCGGCGGTACGGCCGGGACAAGACGTCTTTCTCCATGGAGGCTGGCAGAAAATGTGAGTCAGGCCCCGGCTTGATCATCTTTGAGACTAACGACGGCAACGACATCTTCAAAAACATTCAGAATTTTGTCAACAACATCTCGGGAAGGCATATGACTCCTCCAGCCCAATCCAACCAGAGCCACGGCGCCAGCAGGGACGGGCACCACATCAAGCCATCTATCCCTGGAAAGCCGGCCAGCCCTGGTAAGGTGGGAGCCAAGCCCCCCTTAGTAGCACCCCGTGCTGGTATCCAAATGGATCCCGTCAGCGCCCTGGTCACTGAGAGCAGCCTTTTTAAGCAGAAGCAGAAAGAGCGGAAAGGGGCGGAGGAGCAGGTGGATGAGCTTGCAGGGAAGGAACCCGTCCCCTGGAAGCTCAAGTTAGGGAAACCCAAAGGTACCAAGGAGAGGCAACCCACGCCTCCTGAACCCGATCCCGAGCCTAAGGCCCAGCCAGAGTTTGAGCCTGATCCGTTGTACTCTGAGGTGCAAGAAAATCCCAATAAGCCAACCAGTGAGCCTGTCCCACCCGAGCCAGAGGAGATGTATGCCCTCCCAGAGGGCACTGAACTCCCCCTCCGGCCGCCCATGCCAAATGTCACCGATCTTCCTGAGTCCAGTGAGTATGATTTCCTGAACACATCCGGTACCCCCAGCGGTTTGTACGACACAACCATAGAAGAGCCCTTGGGTGATGCCTGGAGGATCTACGGTCGCACTGAAGACAACATCCACACTGAGCACTACCTAAAAGGCCTGCGAATTGTTGAGGACGAGGAAACAAGTAGGGAGCCTGAACCAGCCAAGCCTGTCGTCAAACCCACACCCCTCAGGTCCAAACCTCCACCAAAGCCCACCCCCTTGCCAAAGACACGACCGACTCTCCGTAATGCCAAGAAGACCAAAGCCCCCGATGCCAAAAAGGACCCAGTGGCTGTGCCAAATGATCCCGATGATCAAACGTACGACAGGGTTGGGTCATTACCGGCGCCAAGCGTGAGCGTGGGGCCATCGCCAGCCAACGACCAAGACACGTATGACCACTTTGTCCGCCCCTCTATTGCCCACCCGGTTCCCGCCCCTCGGAAGGGCAACATCAGTCAAACGTCACAAATAGATGACGAATCTGAACTCTATGATCACCTCCAGCGAGAGACCAACAAAGGGGGAACACGGATAGCCCCTAAGACCTACGTACCCAAGCAGAAGTCAATTGATCCCGATGAAGCTTACGATGTCTTGCGCCATGATGACCAAGCCTTTGGAAGCAGTGGAAACTTGAACAACCTGGGAGCAGGGACACTACCCGAGGAGTCGCAGTACTCTGAGGCTAACATGCCTGCCCAGCCGTCATCGCTAGACCCCAGCACTAACGACTTGGAGGAAAACGTGTATGATGTGGTAGCGTATGGTGAAACATAATAAGTTGTACAGTCATAGGCCATTTTGCTGTCTAGGGCCCTTTTTATTTTGTTATTTTATTTTACATGTATATTGAATTTATAAACAGGACATGCTATAGAGTGGTTTCCTGAAACTCTACTCCGGCACACCGCTGAAAAATTAAACATCTCGATGAAAACACTAAACATCTTGATAACTTACAGGAATTAAAAACGAGATAAATGCTCTGCATTCCAAACAACATTGATGTTATGAGATCAAGTGAAAATGAAAGCTGTTTTAGGCTTATCTTAATCATGGTCGCCAGGGTTTTATTTGTAAGTGATGTGTCTGCCTTATTTGACCGTTTGACATTGCAAGCCAACAAATGAATTGAGCCTTCCCCCCCCCCCCAAAAAAAAGGTATCTGTAAAGTATCAGGCATGAACAGTGTTACCGCAAACTCTCGTTATTTCTTCGCCAGTGATTTTATACACAGCGTACATGTGTATGTTCAGCACTTTGCAAGAAAAGTCCTTGAACATGTTGAATGCTCCAGGAAGCAAATTGTGTACATTAAATGTAGGTACATACATGTATGTACACATGTGGTGCGGCGTGCTCATGCATACTTTCTCTTGCATTCTTGTTGCTTGAACAATGATTGAACCCACAGTGTTACGGTGTGATTTCACTGTCAGACAAATTGTTGAACTTGTATTAGAAAGTGCATTGTGTCCACCAGTTTTTGTGCTCACGGCACTACGTACATCATTATTACCCTGCTCATTGGGCCAGTGAAACATTCCAAATACAATCTCAGCTACGGGGAGTAAACGGCTCGAGGCTTCCATTTCGGCACATAGCAGCTATCAAAAACCAATCACAATAACCATCTCTGCCCTCACATGTACCCATTTACTCCTGGGTGGGGAGAAGCAAAGAGTGACAAAGTGCCTTACCCAAGGGCACAAGCACCATAACCCCAGGCTGGACTCGAACCCACAACCTGCAGAATTACTCGTAGACCACAAATTCAATGCTCCAGACCACAAGGCCATGGCACTCCAGCTAATACTCAAAATGCATTACTACATGAAGGCCTAGATTCACTACCATAAGTTAGTGAACAATGTACATAAAGTACCTGCTCCTAGAACTTGATATATGGTGCACAGTTGTGGAGGCTCATTCTCACATGAGAGTGAAATGACCGTCAAACATTTTCTGACCACCATATTTATCCAAATAAACAAAATGAAGCATCCATTCAAGTTTTTTCCACTTTAAATACATTCTGTTTTTTCAAAAGAATTTGACGTTTTGAGACTCTGCATATGATGGCACCAAATAGAGTAGGCTAGTTCATTTTGTTCGAGTAGTTTTTGCTTTCCAAGTTGACCCTTTGATTCGCGTACGTACATCCTGGTTTATGAGTGGCTTCATATATTCATATTGTACTTTGTGCAAGCATCTATATATGTAGCTGTACATGTTCAAATAAATGTGAGGGATTTTCTGCACTTCATGTTGACATGTACATGTAATGCACATGTAGGAACAGTGTCCCTGCATGGCACACTGGTTGAATACACAAGTAGGTCGTACCCGACAAAAAGAAAACCATCAGGAGATGTTGCACATGTATATGAGGTAGACCATGTTAATAAAACCCTAACTTTCTAGGCATTTTTGCCAGGATGTAACCTCAGTCCTGCAAAATCCTCCAACTGCCTCCAATGCGGAATATCTTCATTGCCAAAATACAACAGTTACAGTTATGTTTCAGGCCATATTTGGTAACTGTATGTAACAGGCTTGTGTGGGAGTGAATGCATGTACATGTGCGTGTACATAACCAGGATATAAAAGTTCAAGACTTCCTGCATATGCTGCACACGCATGTGGACTACTATGCAGAGTTCTGCAGTCGCAATAGGTACATATATTACAAGTTAAAGTGCATACTAAATAGCGATATAACTAGAGTCTATAATAATTGTCGGTGATCACAATTTATGGTGTAGCACAATGTGAAAGCTGAGTTTTGTAAACAAATAAGTGAACAGGGATGTTTGTGATCATGTTTGGCCGTGGAGGAACACCCTTGTATCAGCACAGGAATATTTCAGATATCACATCGACAGAAATTCAAAACACCGCATTGTTATCTTATCAGATCTGCAACAAGCCACACATGCTCGACCCTTGCCTGACTGTAGTCACATGCGGGGTTAATCAAAGGTTGTTGTCTGTGTTTCTGGAAAGGGTCTCTCTGAACAAAAGAGGAAAAGAGCTCAAAAACATGAAACGCTCCGATAGAAACGCAGTCTGTTCAATTGTACTTAAACTGCAGATGCACCTTTTTTTCTGGGGGAACACTGTGATGTTTAGGATCTATATAGGTCGATCTATAAGTGTTGGGTCCACTTTTTATCCTGTCCCTGTTACATCTGATGTCTCTGATTTTGGAATTCTGATGCACCCCTTAACCCTCCTATGCAAACATGCATTCTGTGCAAAGTTGTCCTTTCAGTCAGAATCAATCAAGTGACTGTTTTTAACAGTTAAGAGCTCCCAGCCTACATAAAGTAGGATAGACTGGCTGGGACTGTTTATGTAACTTGATGCAGCTATGCTTTGACTGTAGGTGATTGGTAAGCCAGCTGTGCCTACCACTTGCCTGCTTTTGTCTGTTGACTGAATTTGACTAGTCACAGTGCTTTCTTGAAATACATGTATGATGTGACTGTTGGTGAATAGCCTGTGTAGAAGGCATGGCAGGGAAGAGGATTGACTTTTCCTGACTGTATGTGACTGTTCGGACATGAGGGTTAATACAGTCATCCTCGTAGAGTGATTATGAATAGCAAACTGCGTGTACCTACCTAGCAAATAAAAAAAAAGTTTGAAGTCCTTAATTATATCTGAATGGCAAATTAAAAAGTACTAAGGCTAAACAGGGACATGAAAAATGTCACACTTTGGATAGTAAATTTATAGAAAGACTCATGTGCCAAATGTGTGTCAATGTGTGAAAGAAATCTTCTGAACGAAATCGGTATGTTCTTGAGCTTTGAAAAGTTGCCTAAGTAACTGCCACAACCATGACATAATATCTCTACATGTACATGTACATGTATGTAGTCTGTTGTCCAAATCATTGAAATTTTTTTTCATTTATATTGTAATCTATGTAAAAACAGAACATGTGTTTATAAATATGTATATATCAAGGACCTCTAAATTGTACATATTTGAAATGTGGGGAATGACCACATTTTAAATTTACATGTGAATTTTTTTTTTGGAAAGCATTCCAGTGATGTATAGTTGCACTTGACATACAAAGATGGCACTTTTTTACTACTTTGGAAAGTTCCAGTGGTACGGACACATATCACTGTGTGCATGAACTGGTTTGTGCTTGTATGGCGTGAAGTACGCACGACTTATTTTAATCTGAATGTGATATGATACACCGTGCCCTCTGGAGACATGCACACAATAGGGAACAAAAGATTGTATACATCTCCACAGGGCAATTTCTATAGATGAATACATCTCCACAAGGTTTTCACGCAATAGATATATGGATTTTACTCAAAAACTAGGAATTTCCAAGGTATGTTGATCCGTTGCAAATGGTAGAGTTTTAGAAAAGGGATATTAAGTCAGAATTTCAGCCAAGGAAATTCATTCTGGTTAAAATAAGAGCATTTTGAAACTGTACTTTCAAACTCGAAAACTTTAGTACGCGAGAACAAAGAAATGTCTCCACAAGGATACAAATTTCTGGGGTTTTTTCGTCCACGGTTTGAAAAGATGAACACGTACACACCAACGTGTTCACACCGTTGATCGTGGACATCCTATTGTCCCTCTTTTGTTTGTACTCTAACTTTTTAGGAATATTCACATAGGTTTTGTACACGGCCCCAATCGCGGACGTATGCTGGGAATCGTGGACGATATTGTTCTCTTTTGTTCTCTGGTATTTTTCGTCCATGGTTTGAAAAGATGAACACGTAGACTGCTACTTGCAGTTTCTTTTAGCTAAGCTAAGTTGAGCCAGCTAAGTCGAGGTTCAGAATACAATCTTTTGGGGTTACATGTGCAATTAATCAAGATAATCAACACAAAAAAGTGAACAAAATAAAAATAAAAACAATCTGAGTTTGTTAATATGAACATGCAAAAATGTGCCAAAACGTGGTAGATGAATGTTTCTAAATGAAATCTGAAAGATGTTCACACTTATTTGGATAATCCGAGCAGATCCGTCTCTGTGTATCAGGAAATTTTACAGGGGGAAAAACAGGGGGAAAACGGGGCACCTGATGACTATGAAATGCACTGACCAAAGAGGCATATATTCAAACATTCAGTACAGGAAATAGCTTTTGAAGTTGTCATTTTCACAATTCAAAGAGTGTTTGTATGGGGTTTCCAGTGCACTACACATGGTCTCATACTTCCTGATTTCAGGGCAAAAATACAACTTATTAAAAATTGCTGAGTAAGGGTGGATATTCAAACTGAAAGCTTCCTTAAGGCAAGGGCTGACCTGTTACCTTAAATTACAAGAATTCACAAAAGCATTGAACATGCGTTCCACGCCTTCATTTATAAAAACAATTTTTGTGTGTTTTGCACTTTTTCTGCCAGTGTGCACATATCATTTCCAAAAGCATTCTTGACATAGGCCCTACATGTATGACTACAGCCCAGAGCTAGGATTTATCCAACTGGTATAATTAACACCCACCGTAAGTTTCACTTCTATACAGTGAACGGGAAACGCACTGTTCTCCCGTCATCCAAATTTGCGTTGTAATTTGTCAAAGAATAAAGTCAAATACAGTGCCGTTGCTCATTTTATGCAACAAACATGCTTCGTACTTGAATACATTTTTGAAAAGATATCGTTTGATCTGTTCTAGAAGACTGATCTTAATATGTGGCCTAAATCGGTTATGTGGATATGTGGAAATTGATCCCAGACTGTGCATGTGCATTTGTACGGCTTAGGGGCTACAGAGATTAAAAGTTGAACAAACAAATGTGTGGGTTTTGAACTTGCAACGTCCGGGTTTGCCTTTCTGGTGCTCTTCCAACTGAGCTATCCAGCCCGATGTTGGCAGGTCCCTGCAGTTTGTCAATGTCTTTGTTGAATGGGCACTAGTCAGAAGCCATGAATCTGTATGTGCCATGTAGGCCAGGGATCACGCCCAAAGTCATGATGCTAGCAACACAAACAATGCTGCAAGTGTGGGAAAAAAGCAAACGGGGATCACTCCGAGAGGACACGGCTTTTATAAAGTAGCATGCAAAACATGAAATATTGTTTGCAAAATAAGGAAGTTATGAGCAACCCCAACTACATGATTGTACCTGCAAGTGAAATTGCAAAATTCATGAGGTCAAAACTCAGAATGGCACTGTCCCACTTTTCAACAGGCCTTTATGGGGTGTTTTGATGTATGGGATATTTTCCAAATTAACTCATTCACAGTGCTTTGCCTACAGGCAGCTAGCTTCCTTGTTGAACCATGGAGCTATAGCTCCATTGTTGAACTATTAAACATGCCTCTGTATAAAGCCAGACAGTGGATGTGATGTTGGAATTCATATGCATACATCCCAAAATAACAGTAACACGCGCACACGTGAAAGGGGAAAGTGTGGAAAATTTTAAAAGGGAAAGCCCCATATATTGCACGTCTGCCCCCTGTCACAGAAAGACTGCCATTGCATAGATCTAGCTTGGGATCTGATACACATTTGTGCATACATTGTAATACAAAGTAAACTATGAAGAATAACACTTTTAATATACATTTGAGGAACATATCTTTATATTTTTGTACAGTAATATATAGCTGGTTTAGTGTTTCTTATGTACACAACGCTTGTAAAAAATAT